TACTCCATATGCCATTCTATATGGGAGAAAGCCATCACTGGCACATTTGAGAATTTTTGGAAGTACTGCATGGGTACATATTCCGAAAGCAATCAGAAGAAAGGGACAGCAAAAGGCAAGAAAGCTCAGGTTTGTGGGCTATGAGCCAGGGTCAAAAGGATATCGCTTTAGTGATGGAAGTAAAAGAATTATAATTTCAAGGTCTGCTAATTTTGCAGAACAAAATTGGGACAGAATTAATGCAAATTCTGGGTATGTCTCACTTAATGACGGTGATCTGTTTAGTGACAATAACTCATCTAATGATAAAAAAATGATGATTGAAGATGTCCATGTTCAGGGAGGAGAGGCTGAACAAGACGTGAAGCCAGAAAGACTTGAGACACAGGAGCAGTTAATACCATGTAGGTCAGAGCGATGTAACAAAGGAATTCCGCCTGACAAGTATTCTGCTAGCAAGGTAAAGGTTTGCAATATGTGGTATGAGCCAAGAAGTTATAAAGAGGTATTGGCATTACCAAAAGCTGAACAAGAAAAATGGAAGGAGGCCATGGATAAAGAGATGAAATCCATAGGAGACCATGAAGTATTTAAATCAGTGACTTTGCCACAGGGAACCAAAGCTGTAGGTTGTAAATGGGTATATAAGAAAAAGGTATTGCCAAATAATGATATACAGCAGTGGTTCTCAACCTGTGGTCGGGACCCCATTTGGGGTCGAACGACCATTTCACGGGGGTCGCCAAACCACGCTGTCTGCCATTTTTTCCCTTTTCCCTAGCTGTCCTACTCCCTCTTATTGGTGGCCACGCCCACTTGGGGGTCACCACAACATGGGGAACTGTATTATGGGGTCACGGCATTAGAAAGGTTGAGAACCACTGATATACAGTATAAGGCCAGGTTAGTGGCACAAGGTTTTTCACTATAAAAAAAATGTATTAAGTCAATAGATCTGATGTCTCTTCCTGTCATGAAGGGAAGAGTGTTGGAATATTCACAAACAAGAAGAGTCATGTGGTAACTCAGTCAGCCAATGTGAAGAAAGTGCTACTGAGTCTGTGCAAAAGAGTATTGAGTTAGGAGCTGGATTTCCAGTCTCATGTCTGTCTCTGGTCTATCTCTGTAAGAAATCTTCATTAAGCTATGTTGCTGTAAAGAAGAATGGTATTGTAAATATTTTTATATAAATATAAAATTATTTTGAATCAGCTAAATGCAGTCAACTGTGAGAGCTTCTGATTTATTTTTCACCAATAGAGAAATTTAAATTCTCTAACAAGTTTTAAATGTGGACTTTCTCAAGCTAACTATCCTTTCAGTATCTTTATAAAACAGAATACTTCTGATATTCTTAACTTCAAGTTCAATGCTTCTGTTTTAACCCAGCAACACTGTAGCTTGCAGTGCATTTGGCTAGCTTGCAAAATGTCTTAAATTACAACTGCAAGAATTCCAAGGTAATAGATTTCTGGAGGACAACAAGTTGGAAATACTATTTTAAGCAGCACCACAAAATCATCTTACCCAAGGGATTTATGCTCCATTCCTTAAGGGCCAGTAAATAGAAGCAAGTTTTAAAGACTTGCTTAAACAAGCCAGGGTGGAGATTGCACAAATTTTGGAAGGAAAGCTGTTCTAGAGGACAGGAGCCATGACAGGAAAGGCCTGTTTTCTGGAACCCATTAGGTGACATTTTTAATCAGTGGGGCCTGGAGTCCTATAGTTAAGATCTGGCTCTATAGCTTTCATTCTGGGCATACTTTCTCCAGAAAAAAATGCCACAATCTCAGCAGAGTGTGCTTCCAAGTAAATAAGGCAATAACTGAACTAGAGGACCGTAAACAAATACATAAGCAAATCTGACATTACTACTACTATATAACTATATACATAAATGTGTTCCCCACAGAGCATCTTTTTACTGGCAATTGCATGCTGTTTATCCTGTTGCTGATTCACACACACAAAAATGGTTAATACTGTATGCAGCAGAGCAAAAACATCATTCTAATTATAGCAGGTTAAAACTAGCTCAGCCAGGATGAATGAAATTCCATACATATTTATTTTATATCCCACTTTTCATTCAGGAATTTAAGGCAGTGTATGGAGCACTCAAACAGCCCCATAAGCTTGCATGGCTGAGAGTGGATTTAGAAACTGGGCCTTCTAGCTCTTAGTCCACCATCTTAATCATCTAACCACAGTATCTCTTATGTATCTCATATTCAATACATAATTTTTATTTCAATTTTAGATCAAAATATGTGCCTATGTGACAAATAGGGATGTGCAGCACTTCAGATATAAAGCATAAAAAGGGCTTTGAAGGGTTATGAGCATGCATACCACACCTGTCACATAGTAGCCTGTGTTCCCATATCCCATACTATATCTGGGATTAAGGAAGCATCAGCAGATTGCACCAAGATACTTCAGACTGGACATTTACACTTTCAGCACCTCATTATCCTACACAGTACCGTACATATTTTTATGAGAGTCCATTGATACCATATGTGACCATGAAAAGATGGATTCTTTTTTAAGAAAATGCTAATGGATATACTGTGTCCACACCTCTTCAAAGCACATTTTGTGCTTGGATTGTAGCACTGCACATCACTAGTGAAGAAAAAAAGAACCATAATAAAAGTAATACGCAATGCAGGTACACAACCTGACTGACAAGCAGTATAATTATAAAATGGGATTGTTGTTTTTTATTATTTACCTTAAACTTTAAGAAAATCCTGCCAAGCCTCTGGTAAAATAATTGCATTCCCATATTTAATTATACAAGCAGAATTTGTACATGAACAAATTTAAATTCCTATCAACTGAAAATCACTATACCCAGAGCAATACCATTCTAATGACTGGCAGTTTGTTAAAACTGGATGAATTAAAAAGTAATTGAGTGATCTGTGGCTTAATCCATTGTGTAAAGCAAATCAGTGAGGTTAATTTATACTATAATGTGAAGTGCAATCAGATTTAGTAAATTATAGATAAATTAACTGTAGATTAGCAGTACTGCACAAAATTCATATAACTGGTTCACACAAAACACTAAATCACTATTCACAATTTACAAATCACACAGTGGCTGTTTCATGAAGAGCAAAACCACATTATGACTTAATGCTTGTTTACATCTCGCCTAATATATTTGCTAATACATTTAGCCCACAATAGTTCTTTAAATAGTTTTATCATTCCTGCATCCTGATTAGGCACTTGTATGTGACACAACAGCATACTGTAAGTAACCACATGCAAAAAAATTTTGTAGATTCCTTATGGAATTACAGATTTCAAATTAAACCAACAATAGTCCCTGTTTTGTATAAAATGTGAAAGCAAGGGTAAAATACAGGTGACAATGAGAATTCAGTCCAAGAATTGCACCAACTTCAATTAGTAGAACTGGATTTTCAGGCATGTATTCCAGTAATTATTTATAACAGATATATGATGAAACTCTAATCTTCATTCCCCAAAAACAAACTAGCTCCCTCTATCAAATTTAACAGATGAAAGAAGAGCAGAAGATAGGTACCTTCCTCTGATTAAGGACAGATATTATATGTGGTCAATTTTCAATAGATATAGATGTCAGTTCCTGATTCTTTTCATATGCTTCCCCAAACTTCTGCAGTACCCTACCTAAGGACTGAACTGGTTTTTGACCAATAGTCTCTTGATTCCTGCAGGTGCCATCTGCTAATAATATGAAACTCTTTTATTGCATTCAGTTGCAGAAACTTCCATCAAGAGGAGCAGTCTATTTCTCTTTCTCTGCCAGAAAATATTTACTATATATTAAGGAAGATGTATTTTTTTCCAGAAAATACAGGGCTGTAATGTGCTAATGTGTTCAAAGCAGACCTTCATTCAGTACTGTGTTCATTTTTTCCTACTGTAATTTTAAGATTTATTTATTTTTGCCTGTTTGGCTAGTTTGTGCAGAGATGAAATCATATCTTTCTGGCTCAGAAGGAAACTACTAAAACATTTTTCCCCTTACATTAGCATCCACCACTGGAAAATGGGGTGTTCAATAGCCTAAATTAGGCTTATTCATGATGTGTTTTCATGTGGCATATAATATTTCTGTTTGCAAAGTGTTCCTTTAAATGACTTTGTAATAGAAGATCAAAGAGAAAAGTCTTTTTAAAAATCTAAATAATATAAATCATATGGCATTCAGAGGCTAAGCAAATTACACACCCAAACGCTGCCCTCTGCATGAAAGGAGTCTTTCTCCAAAACTGCCCAGCCCAACCCAAGGGAGCCTAATTTGAGAGTTTTCTAAACATTTCAGGTACACTTGAAATCTTTTTTGAAGTGATTCACAGTTCCTATGCATATCAGCTTGTTTCCAGCATGTTGAAAACAGAAGTCATCCTCCATTAGCCTACACTGCACAGACCAAACTTATGGAGGCGACAAAATGGGTGATTAGATCAGACACAACATAACCCCCCACATGTAAAAACTCAGAATGAGGGAAGGGGGGAAAGAAAGAAAGAGACCTAATTTATTCCTATTTCTGGCTTCTTAATTGGTGCCCTTTTAGCTTATCCTGTTTCAGTTTACGAGACTGACAAGTTTCCTGGAGTAACAAAACACAACGTGAAGCCGGACCTGCCAAGTCCCATTCATTTTAGCTTCAATCTTTAAGGCTCACTCTGGTGAAAGGAACGATTTTATCCCTCCCAGGTTGCGCGTTTCAACGGAGATCTTTACAGAACTGCCCGCCCGGGGCTGACACAGACTGGGCTTTCGCAGGCTGAAAGCCCAGACGCACTTTTAAAAATCACCCAAGAAGCTCCACCAAACAGCCCAACCCCTGAGGCTCTGTAAAAGCAGAAGAGAAGGAAAATCCTTCCTGTCTCAGCGACTCCTCCTTCCCCAGCACGGATTGCTCAGACTCTTTTGTGTACCTTTGAGATAGCACAAAACACACAAACCCATGCAGAAAGACGCCTTACCGTTTTGCTCTTTAGCACTGGAGAATTGGAACTTGCTGCTTAGATTTGATTCGGCGTGGACTCCCGGTCTTTGGCTGACCAGAACAAGTGTCAGCGAGAAGATCCCGAAGAGGAACATTTGGTAGGCTGGGGTGAAAACTCTCTAACGCACAACACACGCGCCAAGTCCTTGCAGGCAGCTCAAGTACTCCCCGCGTCGTCGTTTTCACCACCTCCACCAGCCCGCAAAGATTGCACCGCTGGTGAGAAACCAGCAGCAGCAGCGAGCCTGCTTGGGCAGCGGAGAAGAGCAGGGTAGTTTCCACATAATCCCATCCAAAACTTTTTCCTCGGCTACAGTCTTTCTTTCGTCTGTCTCCAGGGTTTTCTCCCTCCTCCTCTCCTAAGGTTCAAAGCATGATCAGCTTCCCAAGGGCGCCACAATCCTCACGAAAGCGGGGGGGGGGGGAGAGAGAAGCAAAAGGGGCGAGAGAGCTCGCGGCGGGCTCAAAGGAGCACCTGTCAGGAGACGAGAGACTCCCCCACGAACCCAGGGGAAGGGGTGGAGAAAAGGAGCCCCCTTCGGGAGGAAACCGCCACCTTCTTCTCCTCTGCTTTGCGCTCCCCTGTTCTTCGGCAGCCGGGCTGCCAAGCCTCTACTGGCTGGAACTCCGCGTTTGTTTTGTTTTTTACTTCTCGCCTTCACGTGTTTCTGCCATACCTCCTCGGCGCTCCCGCTCCTGGAAACGGGGCGGATGGAAGAAAGCTTGGCTAGGCAAAGAAAAACCACGGAGCCGTAAGCAGGCAGGCCGAGGAAGGAGGTAAAGAAGGGGATGGGGAAACGCCAAGCTTGTCTTCGCCTCTCCCAAGGACCTCCTGCGCCACCTCACAGGAACACCTGGTTTCAGATTTACGCTGCAAAAGTTTTTCTCGCGCAGAGAGGAAAAAGAATTAAGGAACACTCGGGAATCCCTTGCAAGGCACCATATACCTTAGTGCTTATTTCCTAACGCCCCCCTCCCCCCCGCGTGTTTTCTGCTCCACCCCCAATTCGCCTCCCTTCCACTCTCCTTACGCAGCCATCTATGGTCTTAATACAGCCCTAAGTCTGTCTCGCTTTCAACTCCCCCCCTAAAATTCTTCATTCAGAGTCGACGGTCCGACATAACTTCCCTCCTCTTGCTGTGCACTGAGTCTCTAGGTCGGGTGAGAAAGAATGAATCTCTCCCGCCCGTGTCCCTCCTCCCCTCTTCAAGCGACAACAGGAGGTTGCCGACACCTAAGTCAGCCGGTGCAGGAAGCCCTGGAATGGCCAGTCCGGGGCGCCTGGTTGCAGTGCTGGGTGTCTTTTGCTCCTCCTAGAAGGCGGTGGCGGCACCGCCGGCAAGAGAAAGAAGTCGTTCAAAGTTCAAGCTAGCTACTGGACGCCTATTCGCACTTTCTTCTTCTTCTTCTTCTTTTTTTTTTTTTTTTTTTTTGAGTACTTGTCTGCCAACCCGCCCCATTATAAATGGCGCTGTAAAAGAAAAATTCTTCCGCCCAAGCATAACTTTCATGGCGTTTTTACAATGTGGCTGTGCTGAAGTGCATATAAGCAGACTGCGGCTTAGGTCAGACATTGTGGTACTCATGGAATTTGCTTAACTGTGATGAAAGAAACCACAGATCACATAATGTTCTAGACCAAGACCAAGAAATCGCATTATAGCTGCGGCCCTATCCTTGCTTGCACCTAACCAACACAATGATGCCTTGACCCTCTAGGTCTTGTTGAAGGAAAAATCTTCATCAGGGTCCAGTCCAAGCTGGGAATAGAAAACATGGAGATTGCTTTAAAAAGAAGGTTGTAGTTTATTGAAGAGGAGAGCCAAACAGAAAGATGGCTCTGGAAAAAGAAGAATGACCACACGTAGCAGGGAATGGGTTTTTATATCTTCAGGGGCTCTTGAGGTTGTTTCCTGTTCCTGTTTGAGGCTTTGTATGTCCTGTGTCATGTACTTTGACCTGAGTCTGAGTGTGCCTTTCTGGTATTCTGATGGTGGTGGGTTAATCCTATTATGTTTCCTGTCCTTAGAATTTGGGTGGGGTATATAGATTTTAAGAGTCTTTGTTTTCCTATTATGTTTCTTCAGTTTCTAGCTGGAAGGCTCCAACCTTCCTGAATGGATTATTACATCTGCATTTCTAAAAGCTGGTTTCTGGTGAGATGTCTGGCTGGGGGGAGGGTGGAGAAGTGTCTGCCTTTTTAAATATCTTCTCCATTATTCCTTCCGGGAAATATATTCTGCCTTTTTAATATACTCCAAAATATTTCCTTCTCTGGATTCTTCCACAATCCCCCCTTTGTGCCATAAGAGTGTGAGTGACACACTTTTATTGGCACAAAATTAAAAATTGATTTGGTCAGGGAGACTTGATAAACAAACTTTTAAACTCTTTATGCAAAAAGGAAAGGCACTAATAGAGGCAGCAGAAAAAGATCCCTGTGTTGGCTCCCAAAAGGGGAGCTTTTCAACCCATAAAGGTCTAAAAAGTCAGGGCAAAAGTTCTGTGGAAAAGAAATTTATAGTGTCCAATATTCTGTGCCAATTATTTTAGATATTGGATGTCACCTTGAGCTTTCAGTCAGGTTTGCACATTCCTCCAAAATTCTTTACAGCCATGGTTTGCCTCAGTACATAACCACTGGCTGCCCAGTTTCAAGAGTTGCTTTCTGAGCCTTCCTTAGCTCTTAGTTCAGTGCATCTGGGTTTCTGATATCCAACTGAGGTTAGCCAGTATGCAAGCCAGGCTATTAAATTGCATACTCCCACTCTGAGTCCACCAGTGCAACATATTCAGGGCTTGGGTTTGGAGATCTTTTTCCTGTTACCTCCTCAGTGAGAGCATATGAATTGCAAATTACCTGAGGGACTCTGATTCCCTCCTCCTTGGAATTTGCAGCAAGTTGTGCATGCAAAGCTTTAATGCCACGGGACAAGAATCAGGCTGGAGCTTTACTGAAGGTAGGTGAAGGGAATAGCCTTAGTGTGATTCTGAATGGTGTGTGTGTACATGCAGTTACTTCTACAAGACAGGCAATACAAACATTCTGGACAAATTTTCTCTCCCACGAGAAGAGAAGTCCAAAGTGTTCAATCTTTCCAAATGCCATCCCTCCATGAATCCATTTGACTGGCTTATTACAATATAAATGAGGCAAGAAAGAAATCTTACAATGGGTTTCCACCCTTCCCCATGGTCTTCCTAGTTTTCTTCTGAGACTTCAGATGGGGACCAATGGCTTCAGGACTCCTTCCTTCCTCTGCAGCTTTCACAGGCATATGGGGGAATGGTAGGACTTGGGAAGATTTGTTCCACTCAGGTTTCATGGTGGCTTTTTAGTGTATGGCTGGATTCAAATCCAATTCCATGGTTCAAATGAATGGAGGCAGCATCTGGGTCAGTATGCTCTGCTTCCAAAGGTTGCAGGGGTCATCTATGCAGGGCTGAAAGATATGAGAACAAGGTCCCCTCCCCCCTTTCGGGTGGACTCTCCCTGGAGAGGCTTTGCTGATCAGACAAAGGCATGGAGAACAGAAGATAAGAAATTGAGAGGTAGATGAGGGGGGTAGCTTGCAAGCAGAGTTTGAAAAGGCATTAATACTGCAGTTGTTAAAGGAATAGATAAGACCAGTCACAACAAAATGGGGACACCACAGATGAGGACAAAAGAGAGGTTGGATTCTGGTAAGAGAACAAAAATGAAAAGTCTCACTTCTGAAATTGAACATTTGCAACATGTTAGAGAGGACTTAAGGACTTGCAACTTGCAAATGCTGAGCAGCTTGAGAATGCTGAAAGCTCCAAATAATTTTAAAAGCCTAATATTTTAAGGTGTGCAAGTTGCCAGGGGTAGAAGAATCTACCTTTAACATTTATTCTAAAATAGAGCACATTATTTTAGAGATTAAAAAATGCTTATATGTTCTAGGATTAGTTTCATAGCAGTTTCACTGATTAGTGACAGGATAAGAAAAGTAACTTAAGAAGAAGAAGGTTGTTTCCATACATAAGCAAACTTGAGCTTCATGAGACTCTTGTAGGTGGACATACCTCATGTTTCAGGAAAAGGATAGACCAGTGGTGGCGAACCTATGGCACGGGTGCCAGTGGCGGCACTCAGAGCCGTCTCTGTGGGCACGCGCATCGTCGCCCCAGTCCTTGGCCTTCAGCTAGGTTTTATAAGACCTTTTCGCTTTAGGCCTCTGCTGCCATGTGCAAAAAAAAAAAAAAAAGGTTCAATCAGTCAATTTCAACTTCTTGCGGGAAAAAAAAGCTCTTGCAAAGTTGGAATTGATTGATTGAACTTTTTAGTCCCACCCAGTCTGCCGTTATCACTGCAGCCATGCCCACCCAAATGACCATGCCCACCCAATTGGCCACACCCAGCCAATGCATAAGTGGGTTTTGTGTTACAGTTTGGGCACTCAGTCTCCAAAAGGTTCGCCATCACTGGGATAGACAGATAAAACCCATTTAAAATACGTACAGAAAATGCACAAATAAAACAAACAAACAAAATTTTCCTTCTAAATGAGCTTAAAACATTCCCTCCTAACAAGGGAAGGCAAATGGGAACTCAATTATCTGTTTTTTGGCCAGGCACACAGGCTGAAGATATTTTCTTTTGGTGACTTATTTTAAGCAGAATTTCTAGCAGAATTTTAAAATTATTTTCTCTTTGGATTAGAGACAATTAATAGTCACATTTACCTCACACACAAAGACTTTGACACACACACACACACACACACACACACATACAAAGACAAGGAAAATAGAACAGAAAAGGGAAACAGAAGTCTTTGTTTTACACATCCTGGTCATTCCCACCATAAATCTCAGTTAACTCAAATTAGGGAAGGCACAAATCTTAAACATATCATGTGGTTGCATAGAAAGAGAGAAAATCACTATTCATATATTTTAATTTCTGTTATTTAGCCAAATTGGCTTTCCAGCAAAGCCCTTTTTTGCATAATTTCTCTACCTATCTCTTTTTCATATCTATCTGAACAGGTAGCAGATTCCACCCCAGGCATCAAGCAAGTCTTTCACAGGGGAGCCTACCTTGACCCTTAAACTAGAGCATCCCATGATTCCCATATTTCTGATGTAGGGGTTCACTTTGGGTCTGTCAAGTCCTGATGTATTGAAGCCTCCTAATGAGACTTCCGCCTACCACCATGGTTTTTGGACCAAAAGGGGGTCTGGGAGGACTCTGGTTCTCTAACAGAGTACGGAACACTCTTTAGGGATTCTACCTCCACAGTTTCAGACCAAAAAGGGGTCTGCGAGGACTCTTCTGCTCCCCGCAGAGAGTACGGGGCGCTCTTTTACTGGTTTTACTTTCACTTTTCACCACCACATTTTACTGACTTCCAATATCCGGGAGGACCTCTGCTTGCTTTCCAGAGGTACGGGATGCTCCTAACCCGGGCTTAATTTTCTGATACAGGGATTTGCTTACAGGGCCTTACCAGCTGGTTGCCCAAATCCAATTCTCTCATTCACTCATTCCATTTTCACACAGCCTCTCTCTTTTCCCTAACAAAAGGGGCATTGTCTTACCTGAACGCCTTTTCTTAGCATGATGATGTAGAATCCACTGGATGGGTAGTTTCAGCCCTCCTGCTCAGCAAGAGACCCTAGGTCAGAACTTTGGCCATGCCTCCCTCTGGGTGTGTCCTCCCAGTTTTGACAAGGCAAAGCATCACTGACGAAGTCCAGCGCATGGATCCTATTTTTTGTGACACCAGCCTAGACTATCATAATGGGAAGGTGTGGATTCTACATCATAATGCTGAGAAAAGGCATTCAGGTAAGACAACACCCCTTCTCCAGCATGATGAATGTAGAATCCACTGGATGGGACATACCAAAGCCGCTCATGTCCCCCCAGGGAGGGAAGTTTAGGCTTGTGTCCCCTGAGAATAAACAACCTATTGCAGGACTCACCT